CCTATCTTTAATAATAAGAAAGTTACCCATGCAATCCCACTCGATCTGGGACACACTGTGTATAAAATCCAATCCGAAATCACAGCAAGATAATATTGTTGACTAGCAAGCATGCACAAAAATGTGCCGAAGTGGTACCGATAGAGTTGCGCAACACTAACGCGGTTTCATTTAATAATACTGTAGGTTCGGTTAAACCAAATCGTATTGCGTGCATTGTGCTGGTACGCATTTGTGGCAGATATAGTCTGCTACATGGTAAGTTTATTTGTTCGAAGTCATGAGTTAAGGTGGAACTAGTTTCCTACAGTTATATCTTTGCATGGTTCTTTTTTTTTAAGGGGAAGGGGGATGTTGTCTGCTTGATTCGGCGATTCACTTATTAGTGTTGCTGTTGCACTCCGATTACTTGTAGTAACAATTTTATATATATATATATATATATATATATATATATATAAAATTGTTTTTCCCGAATTCGCCACATATAAAGATAATATTTTCTTCTTCATTGGAGGCTGAGGTTTACGCTAAGTTCTTATAACTTTCTTCTCTTTTTCATTACTCCTTTCAACTTCTATCTTTTGCTTTGCAGTTGTGCTTGTTTCAGCTAATCCTTCATCATTCAAAACTTGTCTCTTAACCATTTCAACTTTCTTTTTTTTCCTCCTGTTTCTGCACTCTTCTTTTTATTGGTTTTTTTCTTCTAACAAGAGTTTCATCGGCGTTGATGTAAATATTTCAGAATGTTGTTTTCGGCCTTTTCGCTTCTTGGAGTTTGCGGCTCCTGAATTTGATGTCCCAGGCAAGGGTAATATTTCAACAAAAGAGATTTATTTTTGTGTGCTTCTGTCAGCTGACTTCTCTCGTACTGCAGAGACTCGGAGATGTTGTTTCTTCCAAAAAATGATTAATCTGTTGGTTATTTGGTGTTCTCGTTAACTTCTAGTGCATTTTGACTGTTATTATGAGCTTCTACCGACCTACAACCGTAATCGTTTTCAGACATCAATGAGTGGTGATTGTCAACAATCAATAACACTGGATCTTCTTTATATGCCTTTACAGACGTCCGGAAATGCTGCAGCCATTCCAAAAGTATTGTTTCTGTGATCCAACCATGGTCCGAGCAGCAGTAGATAGCATTCGGGGGACCACTCTTCTTCGATTGGAGATTCATTCTTTGGTGCGCAAAAATAAACATCGGCGGCACATATGTGCCCGCTGCACTGAGACAAACACATTGCAGTTGTCTTTCCCTTCTGAACTTGTTGCAAAACCCACTCTCTTTTGGCCTCTTCGAGCGAATATCTTTTGCGGAACCTGAACCGTCGACAGTCCTGTTACATCTGCGTTATATATTCGATTCTTAGACCGGGCGCTAAAGGGTTTGAGCATGCATTGAAAGTCTAACGCAGTTTGACTTTTGATTATTGTTGGGAGCATATAGTAGATGAAGGATATCATTTTGTGTAGCATCAGTCAGCAAAGTCTCAGGTTCCTTATCCGTACAATTGGTTTTAGGGGGTCCTTCTATTTTTTCTTGTTCTAGATCTGTTTCTTCTGCAGGAGCAAACATCCAGTCGGGAAAAATGTTTGAAGGGATATATTCCTGTTGTGAAAAAACCCTTTTCCGCATTAGAAAGTGTGGCTGCCTTCTGGTAGGTATCCATTTTTAAAAAGTTATTTGCAATAAACCGAATCTTCTATTTTTGAATATGCTAGCCAAGTGAACCTTTTCAACCACACTGATTGAAATTTTTCATTTTGAGCATCAGTAGTCCCGAGAAAATTGTAATTTGGAAGAGAAGCCCACATGTTTTCCAATGTAGAAATAAGTTTTTGTTCGGAAAACTCTTTCAGTTTGAGTACAGCTATATCATTTTCAAAACTTAAAGAGTCTGGTGGTACCGGTGGTTAAGAGCCTATTTTTATTTAAAAAAAGTACTTTCTGGCTGTACTATACAATAACCTAACCTGAGTTTCAGTTTGGATTCCTGACAGATTAGATTTACTGCTTCCACCAAACGTCTCGCCGGTCCCGGTACTAACTTCCTCGTTTACTTTAACATTTTTTATATAAGGAAAACATTGATGATTGTCGCTTCCTTTTCTCCATCTTTACACTACACTAATCTAATTCTTATAAAAACGATTGTCACGAGTCACGAATATTTAGCGCTGCAAAACAAATGATTAAATTTTGGTGAAAACACAATGCACCTGAAAATAGTTCAAATAGATTATAGAATGCTCCTACGCAATACCGCCGCCCCCTTTCATCTCCTCTGGCAGTTGCCCATCGCCCGGGCACCTGAAGTTGCTTCAGGTTTTCTCAACGCTAGCGTAGGATGTCGCTTCAGAAACTCCTTCATCCATGTCTCGCCCGCCATTTCCGTATTGCAGTTGAATCTATTATTGCAATTATTTCGTTAGCTAGTTGATAGGTCATCTTTCGAAAAGCTGTCATTGTTAGGCCAAATGATCTTCCTTCCATGTCTGTTAAATATCGTACTAAATCTAACTCCTGTTCTTGCGTGAAAACTTTCTGAAATTTCCCAACCAATTTATCAATTTTAAAATTTTCACCATCTCCCCATTCTGCCCCAAGAGCATTAATAGCGACTGTGGCTAAATAAAAATATATGCGTTTGAACTAATAATTTGGTTTTATAGGGAAAAGGTGTCATAACAGAGGGACTTTCTTCCTATACAATACCAAATGCCAGTTAGTAAAAAGTACGTGTGTTTAATATATAATATATATATATATATATATATATATATATATATATATATATATATTTAAAAAGCGCTAAGGTGAGATCATTTTTACATATATTGCAGATAAGGTGAGATCCATTTGGTAAACCCGAGATCCGTATATATATTATATAAATATATATATATAAAACCAAGTTGACATTGTGCAGTCTAGCCAAATTAATCGACACGATGTTTCTTGGTTGAAGTGCCAGAGCAATAAGTTACCGAATGCAAAAATAACATCCTGGTCTATTACGTCATAGTCTTATATATTCAATTCACAAAGTAAACGGTCGGTCGGTCTCTCGGGCGCCACCAAGACTTCACTCAGCACCCCCGAAGTCTTGGGAAAAGGGGCGGTGCGGTCTTCGCGGACGGGGTGGAAAGCCTCCGGGTATCCTCTAGTGGAGAACGGAATAACCAGGGATCGGTCAGGGTTCACCACAAAATGGCGGCGGTCACTTCCGGATTACCTAAAACAAAATATGGCCGACGGCCCTGACGGTAAATTTCCTAAAGGGAATAAAGCAATAAAGCACAAATCAATTAGCGGTGTCTAGGGGAACGAAAAGCGGAAAAAACAAGGAGAACAGAATATACTTCCCCCCCTTTAATCAACGTAATTGAAAATTAAGCGCTTACCTTGGTTAAGTAACGGTGATATTAATTAAACGGTGGTAACACTATCGATAGAAAATACGGTAAGCTTAAGGCGGTAATGAAACTTAGCGGAACGGGGTAAAAGTTACGGTAGGTGGAAAAAAAAGGTAAACTCAAAACGGTAGTCAAACGGAAAGGATAACGGATTGACTTACGGTCGCTCAAACGGTAAAACGGTAAAGCAATAGGGGTTCGGTGGATTCGGAATGATACGGTTTCGCAAATTAGAAAAATCAAAAGGCGTACTTACAACTCGAAAGTATGAAGCAGAAAAGATCCCTCCCAAAATGAGCATTTTCCTTTTAAAGGAAACCTATTTTGGTAGAAGTGGAACATGGAATTTCCAAAGCCGGGCGGTGCTCGTACCGAGCGGTGTAGAAAATAATTCGGTTTTTAATTAATTGCGGCTCCTGTGATTATCTTAAAAATCTGGGACAACTTGCAAACAAATAGAAAAATTACAGCGCCTCTGTGGACACCTCTCTCGACGGTTTCTGACAAGGTTTACTACTGCCCATTAACATGGCATTAATTAACAGCGCTTACCTAATTAAGCGTAATCAAACCTAAGTACTCATCACTCCAATCTGCAACTAGCTCCCTTGGACTTTTTCTTATCAAACGGCGCTATCGCTTTAACACTCTTATCGCAACATGCAGGCATACGAACGGGACTGCAAAACTTGTAAACAACTCGATTTGAACTCGTTCTATCCTTGATTTTACTTATTATGGGAATCTAAAACATCTTATAAATAATTAACGGCGCTGAAACCAAAGAATATTAATTGTCCCTCATCTTCGGGAGGACAACATCCTTCGGTGGTTACAAAAATATCGCGGTCTTTTTGCGTAACGAAGCCCAAACCAATCGTTACATACAGGGTGGTCTTTGTAAACTGCAAACTAAATGCAGAAATTCCTGGTGCTTCGTTACAAACAATATCAAGCTATAGAGCGACTAAATCTGCGCTCACCTCATCTGTACAACGCCAATTTCTTTCAGGTTTATTACATTTCATAATGAAATTGGAGTGTAAAAATGAAAATTAATACTAACATTAAACGTTGCACCTCAAAATTGTATACTGACTTGGTATTCTATGTACCCATTATGTACCTATGCATGAATGCTACAAAGAAACCAAAGATGAGACACAGAATGTAGAAAGCAGGGTGAAAGATATTATAGGGAGGGGAAAGGATTAAAGGAGCAAAAGAATTAGAAAGAGAGTAAAAACGGAGCAAGGAAAATAAAGGCTAAAGCTTCATTTACATTCAATTCCACTTCGAAGTAAAGTTGTAAATTGTACGCATGATTAATGAAAGATTAGGTATGCGTTTACATTTCCAATTTGGCATGCGCTTGAGCACAAACTCAATTGCAATTTCCTCCAAGCGCAAGAAATTAGCAAGCGGTCATTGAATTTTGTGAGGTTATTGTAGTTGTTTACTTTAAAAAAATGTCCATTAACATTAATAAGGTCACGTTTTCAACGGAAAAAGATGAGTTGTTATTGCAGCAAATAAGCAATTATCCGGCAATATTTGATATAACAAAGAGGGGTTATAGTAATAGGGTAATGACTAATGACCGACAAGACATGGGAAAATGTGCCTGCATCTTATGTGTTTACCAGGTAAGGCATTCGATATAGCATCAATCATATGTGTAACAGTTTGTTTTGTTGAAGTATGTAAAAACCGATATAAATCTCTCCGAGAGAAATATCATCGAGAGAAAGAGAAGCTAAAACAAGTATCGAAAAGTGGAGCAGGTGCCTCATATTGTAAACCGTGGCCTTTAATGTCATTTTTTCAATTTATGTATGACAATAGGCAACCTCGAGAGTAAGTTAGAGCAAACTATACGATTTGTGATAGAAATCCATACAAAATTTTAGCACATCTTCCAATTTGGTCAATACTCAGGACGAATATTCTGAAGATTTGGCGTCAAGTTCTTCAAGCAGCACAATTCACGCACCATTTTCTCCATCGGAAGAAAGTACGGATTCCTTTACGCCAAGTGAACCACAGAATCAGTTGCTAAAGACTCCTCGGAATGCATCACGTAAAAGAACTAGGGAAGATGAGAGTCCTTATATAAGTATACTATCAGAAATCTCCTCGAATATTTGAAATGTGAACAAAAATAAACCTGGCAAGCTACAACATTTTGCAGCTTACATTCAAACAGAAATTAGCGAGCTACCAAAAAGTGTACAAGAAGAGTTTATGGATGAAACCTTGATAAGATTACTCCAAATAAAAAGAAAATGTCGTAACACATAATGTATTTATTTCCATAAGTACATGTTTAAATGTAGATATTACGTACATTAAATTTATTCTGTTCTTTGAATATGATCACACTGCCACGGACAGATATCACTACCTTCTGGATTATTTAAATAATCCTTTATGTAATTTCTAAATGACCACGCATTTCTTGCAGAATTTCTATTCCCAAAACGTAAATGAGCTTCAGATATGTTACCAAAAGCATTTTGCTGTGGCACTTCTTTTCTCCAATCTCCTTTAATTAATGCACCATTTTCTTCCCTATCAATAAAGTTACTATTGCAATACAATTGCTTGCTACTGTTCTCCGACTTTATGAAATTATGTAAGCATACTGCAGCTTTAATAATTCCATCCACAGTTTGGGGTTCTGCATTTATGTTCCTATGAAAGATCCTAAATCTTGCCACCATTATGCCAAATGTATTTTCAATCACACGTCTGGCACGAGACAATCTACAAAATGCACACAAGCTGTAGAAGTATTAAACATGTTTGTTACTACTGGTATACCTGTAATTAAAAATCAATTCGTCTTGAGGGTGGGCTCCAACTTTCCTTTTACTGTATGGTCTCAGCAAATTCACTTGAAGTGGAAAACCTTCATCTCCCACAAAAAATGTGGGTACACTTACTTCTGTGTTTGGTAAAGGTAAATGTTGAGGCACCCCTAAAGTACCATTTAAAAGCCTCTTACCAAAAATTGAATTTTTTAAGATTCCTCCGTCACTTTGTGATCCATATGCCCCTACGTCAACATACGTGAAAGAATATCGGGCATCACAAACTGCTAAGAGAACAATACTGAAAAAATTTTTATAATTCACATAAAGGGAACCAGAATGTGATGGTGCATGAATTCTTACATGCTTCCCATCAATTGAACCCATACAGTTCGGAAGTTGCCAAATATTATAAAAGTCATTTATTATGGAAATCCATTTTTCCTTATTCATTGGCTTCAGGTACAGGGGTGACAAAATTTGCCATAAAACGATGCAAACTTCTTTTATAATGTTACAGATTGTCGACGGGGCAATTCTAAAGGCAAATGATAAACTGGGGTATGAATCTCCTGTAGCCAGAAATCGCAATGTCCACCACTGTCTTCTTCTCGCAAACAAATCCCGAACCCACATTTTTCTGGCCCTTTTCTTTTTCATTTTCTCAGTAGAGCAAGTTAAAGTAACAACCGCAACAATCCCATATAATTACACGATCAAACGAACTCACCTGTGAAGTTCGATCGTAATTATATGAGACATCCAATCCGAAGACATTTATAGAATACTAAGTAGTTCGCCTCGCTCGAACTCCAGCCACGAGTTTAAAAGTACTTATATAATTTAAAAAGAAAAACTTTTTACCCCCAATTACCCTAAACGGTCTCCGCCACTGTCGTGATGTCAGTCCCCGTTAGGAATGAGTATCTAACCTCATTTAGTTCAAAGATAAATCAACTGGTAAACCCTTCGAAAATGTGCTGGAAAACGACAGGAGTGGGGGGGTGGGTTTGAATGTCTTCGGATTGGATGTCTCATATAATTACGATCGAACTTCACAGGTGAGTTCGTTTGATCGTGTAATTATAATTCGACATCCAATCCGAAGACATTTATAGAATACTAAGTAGATGTTTAGAGACAGTGGTTTTCCACATGAACCCAGATAAAAAACAAATAACAGTCGAAGGGTACTATCACTATCATATAATTCAAAAAAGAAAACTAAAAGCTATGGTGAAACAATAATCTTAAATGAAATATCCACATAATGTCAACATCTGACTAACATAAGTGTTATTCTCTATAATAGAAGATGTATTATATATACATTATAATGATAATATGGCTTTTGATAGTGTGCCAACCTGAGAAATAGGTCTGTTATAAAACTGACAGAAGGTTTTCGAGTTTGTTGACCACCCCGCTGTTTGCCGAATTACTTCTAATGGTACACCTAAATCAAAGGCTTTAGATGTCGAAGCATGGCGAGTGGAGTGAGCCTTAAAGATTCTCGTATCTATACCTGCTTCTTCCAACGTATCCTTCACCCATCTACTAAGGGACTGCTTGCTTGCAGTGCGGTACGGTTTCTTATAGGTTAAAAATAGGAAGTCTCTAACTGACGTGCGCCTTCCCTTGGTAGCAGTCAAATATTGTTTTAGAGCTGTAGCGACACAAAGCTTTGGGTTTTCTGTAAAGTATGGAAGGTGTAGACACGGTTGGGTTCTACCTATCCCTGATGTCTTGATCTTATCTTCAATCAAAATTTGAAATCCGTTTCCCGATTCTATAATATTCTCTATTCGAATTAACGAAAAAGTTTGTATTCGGTGAGCAGTTGTAAGTGCTAAAAGAGTTATTAGCTTCTCGGACAATGCTTTTAACGAATCCATTGCGAGCCGCTCCAAGTACGCTAAAACTACTTGTGGGTCCCACACTACATTGTATCTGGGTCTTGACGGTCGAAGTTTTGCTATACCCTTTAAAAATCTGCATAAGACTGGATGACTCGACAAATCTGTTGACGTGATCAGCGATAGTGCTGAGCGATGAGAATTAAATGTTCCGTAGGCATTTTCTTCCGTATCAAAAAGATGTTGTAAAAAACTCATCACTAAAGATGGTGTGCCCTCATACGGATTCACCCCCCTATCTGCACAGAAAGGTAACCAGCGTTTGTACGTTGCTCCATATTGTTTGACAGTTGCTTCGGACAGTGACTTAAGGATAGTTTCCACAACGTTATTCGGTAAGGACATCAACTTGAACGCCTCCCTGATAGTCTGGCTGCCAACAAAGAGAGCTTGTCCGCCAACGGGTGAGGTGATGGACTGTGAGGTAAAAACAACAAGTCATTAGTAGGCTTCAAATAAATAGGGTCTTGTACTAATAAATTCGAAAAAATTGGGAACCAAGGTTGATTTTCCCAATTTGGAACAATAAGAATGCCCTCGGCCTTATCATTAATTATTTTTTGTATTACTCTTAAAATTAGAGCAAAGGTGGGGAACGCATAGAAGTAAGAACCCTCCCAAGACCTCGTAAAAGCATCAATGTAAAGAGCCTGTGGGTCTTGAAACCAAGACACATAAACGTCACATTTATGATTATCTTTGGAAGCGAAGAGATCAATGTCAGGGACTCCCAGTCTTCGTGTCACAAGATCAAACGCCTCTGCTGACAGGCACCACTCTGTGTCTGACGGTAAGCTTCTTGATTCCAGATCAGCTTCCCAGTTTTCTTTAGAGCTTATATAGGAAGCCAACAGCCACAGGTCCTTTCCCTCACACCACTTCCAAAGTTTCTTTGCTAAAGCAGACAAGGCTGGGTGTTGCACACTACCCATTCTATTGACATAAGATACTGCAGTAGTATCACAGACAACATATACTACAGACGGTCAATCTTAAGGGGAAAAAGCACGCCAAGTTTTGTTTCACATGTCCCCTTATTTAAAAACCTGCTATCCCTCTATTTTGCTCCATCTATTAGCGCATACAACAATGTGTTGGTTCTTCTACAGATTTCTTATTTTGGAATGGTTTTGCAAATTGTCTAGGGAAAGAAGTATTGATACTTTATTATTAGAAAGCTGTCCCACTCTCGCAAGAAATCCCCATATTTACATCTGGGCGAAGTGCTGATAATCTTTGCAGGTACACATACAAAGCAAATATCACTTCATATTCGCAATTACGTATTACTCGTTGTCTTTGAGTGCATAAGAAACGATATAACTTGCACCACTTTTCGAATTCTCGAAAAAAGTGTAATCTCCGTGTTTTTTTTATATACCTACGTACTCTACTTGCCTACTTGTCTCTCCGTTTGTGGAATAAATCTTGCAATCAGCAATTTAACTTCATTTAACTTGGGTAAAGAAAACCTAAACATAAGCAATTTTCGAATGAATATTTGCCTCATCATGTAATAAATCCCATTTGAGGTGTGCAATTATCGGTCAATTACGGCGGTAATTGCATTGTAGAAAACGAAAGAGCCCTGCGCTAATTGCACATTTCATGGGAATACACTTAACAATTTGATAAATAGGTAAGGTGAGTTTGTAATGTCTATTCGGGAAATATTCCCCCGAATTACACTCGTGCATCAAAATAAACCTGATAATTTTTAGCGCATTTTCCAACGAAATTGGGTGCGCTACTGCAGCCACTTTCTCTGTCCGTCGGTCTGTCCGAGGCCTTAACTACTCCTACAGTTTTCAAGATATTTAGTTCGTTCTTTTTGCATTCGGTAGCGTATCGCTCTGGCACCTGAGTCAAAGAAAATCTTGACGATTGAACTGCGCAAAGGCAAATATATCGCATATAGTAAAATTCAGATGTGCGCATGCGCAGACTGCGCAATGCAAACTTTCTTATTTATGGAGATATTTCTTTGAAATTTTAACCAAAGATACTTATAGTAAAAGCAAACGTATTGTATATTGTAAATATCAGATTAATAAGCGCATGCGCAGGACGCGCAATATCAACTGCGCAGTAAAGTGTCAACTTCCTTATTTATGAAGATATTTCTTTAACATTTTAACCATATATGCATCTAGTAATGAAAAACGTAGCGCACATAGGTATGGCATTTGGGGAAGTATTGATCAATTTATGGAAAATGCGCTGAAGTTACTCGCCTTAGGGCGAAAACCTTTTTACTTGTTTATTCAAATATCTTATCAGTAAAAAACTGCGTTCGGTTATTTTCATAATTTGTTAAAAGAGCATTTTGATGAACTTGTGCAATTACCTACGAAAATTGTCACAAAGCAAAGTTTTAATAGCGATCCTCGAGATGGTTTATAGTTTTGTATCTATTACTGTCTGCCGGTTTAGTGTGTTGTCACTTCACTCAACGAAACAAGCGCTCGTATGAATAAAAGTAAGCAAATGCTTATACTTACAAAATTCAAAGTAAATACTCGTAACTGCCCCTTCATACTGGTCTGTTTAGCATGGTTTAGCAGCGCTGCACTGCGTCCTGTCCTTCTGCTTAGAAGCGCTGCTAAGTCACCCAGTGCGAAGGAGCACTTACGAGTATTTACTTTGAATCTTGCAAGTATAAGCATTTGCTTACTTTTATTCATACGGGCCCATGTGTATTGTATGCAAAAAATCCCCTGAATCCGTAAATGACAGTCTAGCT